TGTAAGGGTAGCTTATGTTTTTATTCAATGTTATGTAAGTGAAATAAAGCCGAAATAATATTTGTACCGCTTGTGATATTTGTAAAATAACATAAATATAAAAGTTTTTTATGATAACAAGTACAAATTATATGAAGAGAATTTAAAGTTTAGCATTTCTAATCTTATAAGCATTATTATACTATCAAAGACTCCACCACCCGACCCCCTAAGTACATTTCATTATTAAATTTGTGAATGAACAAAAATTAATTATGTATGTATTATTTATGTAAGTTTCGTAACTAAAATATATAAACAAATGTTCGTTATTCTTAATTTTCTATTTATATATGTATGTATAGATATTCCAATTTTCCTAAATTATTAAAAATATTTTTGAAGCATATTGATAAAATTTTTCTGTTAAAGACATTTTTTTTTTAATTAAAATAAATTTATTTAATAAAATTAATAATAACATTACTAAACATTTATACAATTTATGTGAATTTTAAAATTATACGTTCATCTTATTCTAAAATTTTACCTATAATTTTAATTTAGAATAATTGTCATACTGCTAGAGTTTTGGTAAGGTTGTGAAAATTTTCTTTTTCCACTTATTTTATCTTGAAATTTCAATAGAAATACATATTTTAATTATTAAGCTTAACCATGTCATAAACCGAAAGATTATATTAAAATTATATAAAAGTTTCTATAAGGCATAGTAATATTAACAAAATTACATACATATACATATTTCTGAGAATAATTTTTTAATTATATAATTTACCACTACCATAACAATTATAATTATATATGATTTTAAAATGATTTTTCTTTTCTATTATTAACGCATTTTATATAATATTAGTATTATGTGCATACAAACAATTTATTTATAATTATATATGAAACAATATTAATAATACTGTAATTTTTATTGTACTGACTTATGTCGCATATAGTACATATAAATATATTTATGTACATATATTTATTTACACTTTAAAATCTTTGCAAGCAAAAATACACATAGTTTGTATAATTGTAATATCTACTGTCATTAACATTGTAATAAAAATGTCACCAATTCTTTTCTCTTATACCTGGGAAAATTAAAATTCATATTATATAATATTTTTATATTATCACTCGGTAAAGCACGTACCTGTATATATATATTACTATTATTCATACATATATATATATAAAGAGACAAGAAAAGAAGGTGTTCATAGTCACCTTAAAAGCCTTAACCTATATTTTGGTTATTTAACTATATTGTACATAACACTATCATGAGAGTAAAGATTAATGCATAATAATATTCGTATTGAATGTCTATAAAACTATAAAAAACAAAAAAAAAAATAAAAAAGAAAACATTAAAAAGAATAAAGAATTTCAATTATTTTTTTTTCTTATTCTCTCTCCCTCTATCTCGCTCTTTTTACTTCACTTAACAACACCTTTTCTCATCGCATCGATTGAATCATGCTGATTTTAAAAGTATAGTGCGGTATTAAACAAAGGGAAAGAAATCTGAGAAAAACAAAAATCGCATAATAATTAATAAAAAAAAAAATCTTATAAATCAACTAAGAAGAATAAAAAAAAAAAAATAAAATAAAAAGATACAAAAAAGTGGATCCTTAAGAAATTATAAATTCAGGTTATTTTTTTTTTTATTTCTATATCGTAATTAATATTTCTCAATATATCATGAAGTTTAATACCTTGGTTTCTTGTGGCAAAAAATACGAAATTTTATAGTTAAGAAATGTATGTGATATATAGAACTGATGAACTCGTATAGATACATTAAGAAGACAGTTCAATTCTTATATAAACCACATAAAATTCATTATACATATATAATATATATCACTCGTATATATTGTTAAAAGTGTTGAAAACTTTAAACTTCATTTCACACCCCTAGTATCGATAAACTAAAAGAGAAAGATAAGATATTTATAGGAGCGAGGAATTGAAATGAAATGAAATTTCAAAGGAAGGTTTCAACACATTGAAAAGTGTAAAATGTTCGAATTATATGAATTGTCTATAGTGTGTCTACAGATATGTATATTTTTAGCACGATATACGAACATATTAAGTATCCATATATTTTTCCTTTTCTTTCTCAAAAATTACAAGTCTCTATACGAAATATTTATGAATACACAATAAATTTATTTACATGTACATAAAATATAAATATGGATATTAATAATGTCCTTGCATTTTAAATAAACTTAAAACTAACAAAAAAAAGAACGGAAGTATAAAATAACAAACGCAAAAAAAAGAAATTTAAAATTAAAACACAAGAGTAAATGATTTCAAGGATTTTAGAAAGGAAACTTGAGACAAAATGATAAAATAAAAGCAAACAAATATTCCAAGTAGCTATTCACATATTATGTTTATGCATTCGTACATAATATATGTACATTTAATATCATGTTCATTGAATTAAGAACAAAAACCATTATTGAAAGTGATATACAAATTTTTTTAAGGATAAAATTGCACAAATATAGCCTTACTCGTACAATAATTTCTCTTTATTTTTATTATCACATTTCTTGTTCTGCATAATTCCTCTTTTTACTTATATATAAAAAATGAGTTTATATACAATAAATTTAATAAATATATTATTAAATATAATTATTTTATATAAATTGTAAATAGTGAATTCAATTAAAGAATAAAAATAAATTTTTTTTTCACTTTAAAACTTTTTAAAATTAGGTTAATTATCCTTGTTATTTTTTGCATTATTAAAGAATCATATTTTATCTTTTTATAATTTATTATTTTAATTATATATTTTTCTTATAGTATACCTATATTACACCTAACGTACATACATACACGTACTTAATAAATGTATGTATGTACGCATGTTAAGTATATTTTAATATTGGTTCATAATAATTCCTTAATTGCAAACCATTATTGTCATTATTTATATAATAATATAAAAATTGTAATAAACATGATTTAAAGTTAAAGTATAATTAAAAAACAGAGAAGAAAATAACAAAAATACCGGTAAAAAAAAGGAATTCCTTTTACTGAATAAAAGAGATTTTATAATTTAATTTGTTTTAATTTTATTTGGAATTTTTAAATATTTCATTTTATCTTACAATGTTACAATACTATGGAATTTTTATATGATTTTCAGAATTGAGCAAATTTTATACATACTCATGGTTTCAATACTGGGGTTTTTAATTAATTGGGATAACAAAATACGTCGAAACGTCAAAAAATCATTCCTATTTAAATTACAATATATTTCTCGAAATATTTAATTTTCATTCTGGAATATCATAGAAGCCTTTTGAAAAATCTTTTAATCGAAAAAATGTTTCATAATTTTGTGCTAATAATTCTGTAGGGCATTTATGCTGCATAAGATTTTTATGATTCTATTTTTTGTATTCCTTTAAAATAATCTTTTATAGCATAAGTTAATCACGCATTGTAATGGTTCAATGAAATTTTGAAAAAAAAAGGGGTCCAAAATAGTTTTTTTTTTATTTTTCCTTAAATGACATAATATCGAAAACTAAAATTTTTGAATTATAAACTTGAAAACTGGATCTATTATTGTTTACAAAAAGACAGCGAATAATTCCACTCTTGGCGTAATAATTTTTGTTAATAAATATTACAAAAATAAAAAATTATATTTTCCGGATTACCTTCCGAAATACCAGGGAAATTTAATCATAAATTGCTCAACTTTCCATTTATTCACTTTTAGCTGTATTTTTTTTTCAATATAAAATATTAAATTACAACACGTTTGATTTTTGTAATTCAATGTCAGATTATTATAATATTCCAGTTTTAATTGCAAAATATAACAAGGTTAAAATTCATATAAATTTACATTGTTATTTCGAGTATTCAAGTTAATCCGAGATATTTTTAAATACTATGAAAACACAAAATCATCTTTTAAATGGTATATTTGTATTATGGTAAATATACGTTTTATAAAATTCATTTTAATATTACAATATTTATATAGAAAATTGTTATTAAAAGCGTTCATAAGTAATTAAATAACAACTTTAGTAAATAATATTGAAATATAGAATTGATAGCTTCATCAACGAATATTTAAGAATATTTTAGTGTTAAATATAAATGTTATGTATAAATTAATTATTAATTATCGTATATCATTATGTATATATACAAACATGTACACAAATATAGTAAGGTTAGAATGACATAAAATGAAACTAAATAAAAGTCAAATGAGAAACTTTAAATGCTACATAGAAAATTTATGAGACTTGACAATTCAATAACCGGAGCACCTTGAAATATTTTTTAATGTTATTTAAAAAGATAACCGAAATATAAAAAAAATTTTAAAATAATAATGACAATATTTTCGAACAGTACTGCGTGTTTACAAAATTTTTTTTATTTTTACTTTTGCTTGTAGGTATTTATTTAAATTTTTTTTCTTACTTTTGAAATATTTTAGAATATTTTAACAAAAAAAAAAGCGGTATTTAACGCCTTAAAAAAATAAGATTAAATTCGGACTTGAAAATTTAATATTACAATATTGTTAATTAAGCTTAAAGTAAAAAAATTTTAGTTATTATTGAACTGAACCAGTTTTAATGTGGTTCTCAACGTAATATTTTAATTTATGTAACATACGTATTACACATACATATATGCATATGAATAAGCGTATGTTGAAAGTGTCTTGCTAAATAATATTAAAGATTAAATCGAAAATTATAAATATTGCATTGAGAACATTATGAAAAGCAATTACATATAGGTACACACAATTTTTTTATATAGATTAAAATTATTTATGTTTCGACATTTCAACTCCTTTCTGCTTGTCTATTGACAAAATTAAACTCCAATTTGATAAAAATATTATTGATTTGCAATTCTAAAAAAATATCTGAGAATTTTTTTAATTCTAAATTTTTATTCTTTATTATTGTTTACAGCTTTGGCCCAAGATTCATTCAAATGTCCAGATGATTTTGGTTTCTATCCACATTCAGTATCATGTGATAAATATTGGAAATGTGACAATGGTGTTGCAGAATTAAAAACATGTGGTAATGGTTTAGCATTTGATGCTACTGATGAAAAATATTTATCAGAGAACTGTGATTATTTACATAATGTTGATTGTGGTGATCGTCAAAAATTAGGTATGTATAATTAATTAAAATTTTTAACATAAAAATGTGTGTGATCAATTATTTAGCTCACTCGTTCTAATTCTGTCTAAGAAATTAATATAAGTTTAGAATTTTTTTTAAGTACTCATAACTAAACTTATAAATTTTATTTTATAAAAAATTTTGTTGTACTCATTTTATTTATTTTACTGTGTCTATGGATCAATCGTTTTTCATTGATTTTTTCTTTTTTCATGTACGTATTATAGAGGAACCAATTTCAACACCACACTGTGAAAGATTGTATGGTATTTTTGCCGATTCAGCTAAATGTGATGTATTCTGGAATTGTTGGAATGGTGAAGCATCAAGATATCAATGTTCACCTGGATTAGCATATGATCGTGACGCACGTGTTTGTATGTGGGCTGATCAAGTACCAGAATGTAAAAATGAAGGTATATAATTTAATTATTATAAGGCAATGCTAAATACTTGATAAAACAAAATAGAAAGTTAATCAAAGTCAATTAAATAAATTATTATTTTATATGAATATTTTTAGAAGTAGCAAACGGATTCACATGTCCAGCACCAGGTGAAATTTCAAATGCTGGTTCATTCTCAAGACATGCACATCCAGAAGATTGCCGTAAATATTACATTTGTTTAGAAGGTGTTGCACGTGAATATGGTTGCCCAATTGGTACAGTCTTCAAAATTGGTGATGCTGATGGTACTGGTAACTGTGAAGATCCAGAAGATGTTCCCGGATGGTAAGTTTAAATATTTTACTTCTATTTGATATTTTTTTTTTTATGTTTTGATGTTATTTAATTTAATGGAAAACAAAATAAAACCAAAAAACAACAATTCTATTTATAACTATAAATTCTATATATAATATAAATTTTATTTAATATTATTTGAATATTTATGTATGTGTGTGCATGATCTTTTCAATCTATTTTTTACACTTATATATATGTATATGTTTGTATACATTTCCTATACTCTTTTAATCAAATATATTGTACATGTATATATCAACCTTTTTTTTTACACACAAAAACATAATCTAATAATTTGTTTTTTTTTATAAACTATCTAATGATGGTTGGTTTACTCAATTATACCTTCTGTTTTTTTAAATATTTTCTTCACATTTTCTAATTAATTAAAACAATTTTATTAACTTCTTTTTGTCACTAAAAAAAAAAAAATTATTCACAAAATAAAATCATCGACATTGAAATTATTGAAAAAACAAAAGACAAAGAAAACGCAATGATTTTGAAATTCATAATTATTAAAGTCTTTATAATAGAAAGATTAGATAGTCGAAAGTCAAATAAAATAATATTCTATGCAATATTATACCATAGGAAATATACAATCTTATTATATAAATATAGCACAATTTTATAATTAATACATATATAAGTTCTTATATATATAGTAAATATTATGTGCAACCAAATTTAAATTTAAGTTGTTATATAAAAATTTTGATGAAAATATTATATTGTTCAGTGTCGAAATTATTATATAGTGAAAGCAATATACAATGTGTATATAAATTATTATATAAAATTTTGTTTATGTACATTATTAATGTAAATATTTTATTAAAAACATAATTATTATACTAACATTATTTTGAATTTTACATCTATTTCTTTTGTAAATTGTATCTATTTATTTTTCAAAAATTTATTTAGAAAATTTTTATTATTTTTACATATTATATGCATGAGAATAGAAGTGTATTTAATCCCTCATAATTAATTGTATTTTTTATATCTTTTATACACACTACGATACAAATTTTGTACAACTGTACATATCGTTTATACAATTTAAGATTTGTGAGACATATGAGATTTGAGATGTATAAGAGTAAATATTCTTATATCTTTGTTGCGAATTCTTAAATTTAAAATTTTATCACTTTTTTAAATTTTAATTTCAATTTTGTACTAAAAACTCGTCAATTATTCTGTAAATTCAAAATTTGATAATAATCAATTATTCTATAAATTTCAAATTCTGTAAATTCAACTCGTCAATTATTCTGTAAATTCTATTCAAACAGCAACAATTTTCCATATATACAAATATGTTGTCAAGTAATGTTCTCTCAATATTTTAATTTTTTTAAATTCTAAATTATAACATTCCAAAATGTTATCACATAAAATTTTAAAATATAAAAAATCTCTTATAATTTGCATGATGATTTTTACAATTTAATATAAGTATAATATTTAATCAAATATTAGTGTAATATTATAATCCTTTTAGTCCTGGCACTGATAATATTTAATATTTCCATCAATTTAAATTGTTTTATACATTTATATAAATATACTATGAAATATGGTTATTTTTTTTTTGGAAAATATTAAATTAAAAAAAAATTAACATCAGAATACATAGTACATATTTTGTTATATATATATATAAATGTATATTAGTATATATATATATATTCTATAATAACACAAAATTAAGTATAATACAACAAATCAAAAAATAACAAAAACAAATCAATATTATTATACCAAAAATTTATACCAATATATACAAAACAAAAATCCCCTAAAAAATTACAGTGAAGACTATTATGGTGATTTGGACTTGAAGAGCATTCGTAAAAGTGAATTATTAGCTGGTCTTCATAAAGATGATGGACATAATGTTCGCCCAAAACAAACAAAGAAAGTTGCACCCGTTGCCGAGAAAGCGTAAATCTCTAAATAATTAGTTATTATTTAAAAAAAAAAAAACCCCAGGAATAAAAAATTTCTATATAAAAAATAAAATAAAAAAAAAATAATGTTAAAATAAAAAAAATATATAAAAAAAAAACAAAAACACAAAAATACCATACACTCAAAACAAATTACAAAACAAAATTACAGACAAACAAAAAATCTTAAATTAATAAAATTTGTAAATTTTCCTAAATTAAATGTGTAATTGTTAAAAAATTAAAAGAAAAAAAGAGATGAAAAAGCAAAAATACCGTTAGGTTATCTTTATATAATTCGTTCTTGTTAAATCGAAAATTTAAGAATTTAGTGCATATTACATTTTCTTTTTTATAAGTTCTTTTTTATAGCATACACAAAAAAAGATTATTTGTTGTTCGAATTCCGAACTAATTTATAACTTATATTTTCTCTGGACAGTTTTTTTTTATTTTCAAAATTATTGTATGTAACATGAAAATATGTGTAAATAACTCATATATAAATAACCATATACATATAAATATAGCCCTGTCAAATAATTTCATTTTGTAAAATTACAATTTTTTGTACTATAAACATTTTTTTCAAATGTAAATTTGTCCAAAAAACAAAAAAAAAAAAGAAAACGAAAATTCATAACAACACTGAGAGACTGCCTATATTTTTTTTTTGTAGAAAAACAAAAATATTTAAAAACAAAATAAAAAATAAAAATTATGTTTATTAAAAAAAATTAAATTACAGTAACAATAATAAAAAAAACAATCAAATGTTAAATAAACGTAAATATGTGAAAATCAATCACTACTTAACATAACTGAAAAATTAAATATAATTTCAATATTTTGAGTTAATTTGGATTCTGGTTACGTTTTTTTAATTTGCATTCATAAAAATAGAACGTAACCAGAAATTTAAATATTTTTGCCAATATGCAACATATAGTTCTCGCACTTATTCATGCTCTCTCATTTAATATGAAACATTTTAATTTTTAATGCTCTCACTCTCTCTCAATCATTAAGAGGTAAATGAATGAGCAATTGTAATACAATTAATAATATTGCCAGATTATTTGTTTATTTCTCATCTGTTAAGCATTTTCTCCACTTTCAAAATTTCCAATACCAAAATTTGAATTAAAATTCCGTATTAATTACCTGTACACTTTAGTGTAGAATTAAAATATTAAATTTAATCAAATTAAATTAGAATTTTGAAATTATATTAAATTTTTAATTTATTAAAATTAAATATTTTGTTAAATTTCAAAGAAAAAAAAATTCTCAAATATTCATCCATTATACTTTATTATTAAAATTCAGATTAAAAAAAAAAAACGAAAAATTATTAAAAATAAACAAAATCAAAAATCTTAATTTTTAAGTAATTTTTAAGTTAAAATTATAAAAAAAAAGCATTGAAAACGAAAACTAAAAAAAAAATTTTTTTTTAATTAAAAAACACCTAAAACTTTACAATTTTTGTGTATAATGAACCCGTAGGTAAAAAAAAGCAAAATCAAAAAATGAATTCCATATATAAAAAAAATTTTTTTTGTATTCAAAAGGAAACAGAAAAGGAGAAATAACTAAAAGAGTAAAAAAAAAAGATAAGCAAAAAAAGGAAAAAAAAAACAATATTAAAGCCATGATGTTTTTTTGAAATTAAAAATAAAAAAAAATTATTATAAAAAAAAAATTAAAAACTAAATAAAAATTTATTTAAAAAATTTAAAAACAATGTTTGGTTAATTTTTTACCCTCATTTCAACTTATTATTTTCATCTTCACTTTTAACTTTCATTTCAAACTTTTCACTGTGAACACTACACTAACAATTATTGTTAATTTTTCTATTCCTTATTTGTTTTTTTTTTCAGATTAACATTTTTTTTTTATAATTTTCCTTTTATTTAATTTTATTAATTTTCTACTAAATGTGTTTAAACAGCGTGTTATTTGAATGGTATACATTTATTTTGACTTATGTCATTAGTTAACTTAAAATCCGGTGGGATCGTCCGAAATGAAAACTTGCAAAATAAAATGAAATAGGGTCAATGACTAAATAAAAAAAATATATTCTCTTTAATTTTCAAAACTATGCTATAAATTGATTTATTTGATGCAATTATTTTTGGAATAAGGAGCCTCTAAATATGCAAAACAAAATTTACTGTAATTATGTTATGTATACATAAAAATTTATATTGCAGTTTGCAAATGTAAGTTGTTTTGACAAGTTTGCACTAGAAATTCGCTAAAAATTATTTTTAGAAAAGAATACAAAAGTAATACAGTCTCTGAATATTAAATTCATCTCTGAATTCAACTGCTTGTAAAGCATTATAACTAGATGAAGAGACGTAATATAGCCCAATGATGTCATAATTTTACACACATGTATGTATACAAAAATCCCTAAAAATATGCAAACCTTTTATATAAAATAAAAAACTTTATGTAATTCTTATCTCGGAGTCATTCTGTTATCATTTCATATGTAATTCCTATTACGAAGTCATTTTGTAATTCCTATTACAAAAATACTTTATTCACAAAATGAGTTTCCAAAATTTAAAAATTATAATATGTATTTGTATTATTTTTTAGCTATATAGTAATTTCAAATAATGAACGAAATTATGTAATATAAAAATATGTAAAACATTTTTCAAAATTCAATTTTAGTTTTGGCAGTATATAAAATTTTCATTATTGTGAAAAGGTTTTATATAATTGTAATTATAAGAGAGTCGTAGTCATGAATATGAAATTTTTAACCTACACTGAAATTTTAAATTGCAGACCGAGTTTTAGAACAAATTTTTTGATATAATGTTCGCTATCTTATATATAGCGATGTTGTAGAGATTAAAAGCGATGAAGAGTAGATTTTTTGAATGCATTGCAATATAAATTTGCACTAGATAATTTGCGAAAATGCCCGAAATATATATATAATATGTCAAATAGTTAATTCTGCTATAAAAATACAAAAACAAAATTCTGTTAATGAAAAATCAATTGATTCCTTTGAGTTAACATTCATAAGATCTTTAAGACATGTTTACCTTTAATACCAAAATTTTATCTTTGGTATTACAAAACGAATTAATAAGATGGAAACTAGAAAATTTTAATGAATTATTTTTATGGTGAGTATTCAAAAATTTTAACTTCACAATTCGTAATTGCTTCAGCTGCTATTTTGTTTTTTTTTTATAAATATTATGCACCCAAATGAATATATAAATAAAATATTATTATGTAAAAATTCAATTTCTTAGTTTTATCATGTATTTTGGGTTTGAGCATAAAAGTAGGTTAAATTAAGTAAAAAGAATATTAAAAATGCATATAAAAAATTAAAATTTGTATGCATCCCGCTTAGATTATTTTTTTATACATTTAAAAACATTTTTATATAGCATTATTTTAAAGACTATTTATTTTCATTAACTGCTTACTAATTTCAATGCTGTAAAATAGAATTTAATGCAACAAAAAAAAAATATAAATTTCTTCGAAAAAAAAAATTAATTTTTATTTTTTTTATTTTATTTATTTGCAGTGAGGACTACTATGGTGATGTTGATTTGAAAGCGCTTAAACGATTGGGTTTCTAAAATGGCCATCTTTTATTAACTTAAGACTGACATGAAAATTCTTTTCCCCAAAAATTCTTCCACATCTTTTATATTTGCTCACCATTTCCGGAAAATACAGTTTTCCAAATTTATTCTAAGCTGAACTATTTACAACCTTATTACAATTCAATTAGTAATAATCCTCCGAAAAAAAAAAATCGATAAAGCCAGCAATTAAGTGATCAATCACAAAACCGAAACAATTTTTTAGCTAGTAAAAGAGTCAAATTTTTAAATTTTTTATTTGTAATTTTTAATTTTTTTTTTAAGTGCATAATTTTGTGCATTGATTTATTTTGTTTTTTTTTTTATTTTTATTATTTATTTTCTTAAGTTTTAATTTTAATTTTTATTTTATATTTTAAGTTGTAATATCAATAATTCATGTAAATACTTCACATTAATAAATTTGATAGAAAAAACGAGATAAACGTAGATTTATTTTTTCACTTACAAATGCCAATTTTACTTCATGTTTTCTTCATTCGTTTTCATTATTGTATGAGAATTTTTAATTGGAATTTTCAAATTTACAATTAAATTTGAGAAAGTTTTTTATTCGACTCACTATATGGAAGATTGTTCGAGTAACAGAGCTAACTTTTCTTTAAAATTAGAGAGCAAAATCAACTAATCACTCAAATGATTTAGCAATAGCACTGTAGCAATAATAACCAGACATTGTTTCTAAATTTAATAAAATATTTGAAATTCCTCATAAAACATTCTTTAATCATTTCCATAATAAAAAAAATTCATTAAAAAACCAAATATAAATTATTGCTGAATAATATAATTTTAATTTCCTTAATTATTACTATTGGAAACCGCACATGACTGCATATTGTGAATACCATTCACCGAATAGATGTTACATAATTTGTGAAATAAAATTCAGTCCCAAAAAAGAAAAAAATATTTTACTTCATAATACAATACGAAATATACCAAAAAGAAAAATAAACCTAAAACATGAAAAAGAAAATGTTACTTTTAACAACAAATTTTTATCAAAAAAATTTTTACTGTTATATTATATTGTAATTTATTATATAACAATCTAACAATATGTATTTTTTACAATAACGGTCAATTTATATCCTAATATTCATCATCAGAGTAAAAGTTTACAATCATCAGTCAAAATCATTTTACGTTCTAACGCTATTGTTTCACTGTCAATAAAACATACAGAACAATAGCCATTGATTACAAATTTTGTTGCTGTTGTTATAGTTGTTGTTGTTGTTTTTGTTATTTTTATCAATATCTTTTATATTTATGAAATTTGTATTGTTCTTATTGAGCTTTCTATTTCTATAGTTAGAATTTTAGTACTGTCCAAAATGATTATTTCTCATAGCAAATAAAAATGTTGTTAATATATTCTAAGCATTGGAAAATTTTCGTTTCATTCAACAATATTGGTACAGATTGTTTGCAAATAATGACAATTCATAGGTTCTAAAAAGTTCTAAATTACAAAAAAAGATTCAAAAAGGTGCAATCTATATTTAATAAAATAGTGCAATTCACATTTTGATCAGCAAATTAAGTGAGAATTTGTTCTTTTGGATCAATCTCGTCTAGCGATATTTTTGGAGGATTAAAGAAAATTTTGTTGAAAAAATTCTGCCTCTAACACATTTATCTGACTTTGTATTAACAAAATAATTCTGAACCCAGGTATGTCAGGCCTAGAAAATTTAAAACAAAAAAACAAATTTTCATTATGACTCAAATCAATTTATTAAAAACACTTATCTGCTTTCACTTGGTAAAAAAATTATTTTAAAATTTTGAAAATTTCTTACTTATATTCATAGGAAATGATGGAAAACACCTTGTATACATATTTGGATTTGTAAAGTATATAAATTTGTTTGTTGAATTAAAAAAGAATAAAAACGAATATAGGAAAGGATTTTTATGATATTTTGCATGGAAAGATAACAAATTACGTAACAATGAATGCAAATCCTGCAAACATACATATACATATCTAGTGTCATATTAGATTTGAATTATTTCTGTTAGCCTTATCTTATAACCATTAAAGCGTATACAAACTAAATTATAATTTCTTTTTATTTATTCATTCGACTCGAATTTGAAATAAAATTTTATTTTTGTAAACATATGAATTAGAATTTATGTAAAGCATCATAAAAAACATATCGGATCAAAAATATTCGAAATTTAAACAAAAAAGAGAGTGTATGCACCAAAAATATAATATAATTATTAATAACTCTTATACCTTGTAACTCTTTTTGAAACAAAAATAAATGCCTAACTCAAATATTTGGAATTTTAAAAATAAATAATTAGTTTAAAAGCTTTCATATTTGATATACAATAGTAAAAAAATTAAAATAACCAATAAATTCGCGTTGAACTTTAAAACCTGCGCAAAGAGTACGAATTTGTAATTTGAATTATTTGAAATTAAGTAAATTGTTGTACTGTTGCTTAAATAAATTCCATTTCGTCTTTAATTCCAACACAATTGCATTGAATACTGCACACAATATCCGTATTTCAATTAAAATTTTTATTTATGCTTTACAGTTTTTCTGACCCTAAAATAAATTTCGTTTTAAAATATTTTTAAATTGATCTATAAATTATACAAAAATCATGCCCAAAAATTGTTTTATAACTTGATGAAAACTATAAAAGTTTAAAGATAACTTTTTTTTTTTTGGTTTGCTAAAAATAAAATTTAACTTCCTCTACCAACAAAGTATTTCCGAGTCACCAGACATTCAACTGATATTTCAAATTCACACTATTTTCGGTATTAACAAGTTATCAAATTTACAATAGAAGAATTTTTTTTTTTTTGTTTCCTAGAAAGTCATAGAAAATTTTAAGTTTTTTTCGTTGATTGAATAAAAATATGAAAACCTACACACTTTAACTATACATAAGTAAAATATATATGGAACACTTAAACGTATATTAGATGACAAAACTTTCACTAGGTGCAAAAATTCACAAAACGAAAAAGTGACTAAAAATTTTTAAATAATCTCAAAAACTTATTAAATCCACTGTACAAATATGAGAACATGAAGAAAAAACTTATCGAAAAAATTTTGTTTCTAAACAATGAAAACTGAGAAATTTACCTTTTCAATAAAAAAAACAAGCTAAACTATAAATGTGTATGTACACTCATATGTGTACATATTCATATTCAACAACATATATTCAGTTGAACATTTTGTTCTAAGTTATTCCACCGTAAACAACAGGATAACCTCTTATCTGAATCCTATAAATGAATTCATGTATGAAATGCTGATTAAAGTACAGGGTACTACAAATTAAATTTTTCCGTTTCTAATGTTAAAAATCACAATATGAATTTTCATAATATTATGTTGTGTTCTTTTTGTATTTTATGTTACTGAGTCTAAATTATAATAAAATATTGGTCTATATATATCGAAATCATAAGAATTTTGATTTCAAAATTTTGTTCAAATTTTAAATATTTTTAAAGCGTTCAAAACCAAATTTTACTTCGTATTCAATTCCAATTTAAATTTACTTGTGTGCTCCATTCTTTTAACATTTTCTTTAAAAATACAATTCTAAACAACGACAGAGTAACATCAACCTCAGAAATTAACGGATAAATCAACCCAATACGCGCAATTGTCAAATTTCGACTCTATATCTTTAAATTGACTAATAACAATCTATTATCACAATGACTACATTCAAGTACTAAAGAAGCCTAAATCAAGTAAAGAATATATGAGTACAAAAAAATTGTTTTTGAATACCCAAGATCCTCTTAAACCTATCCTTATTTAAATATTCCCAATTTAAATTTCCTGTAAAATTAATTGTTTTAACTTTTTATTCAATTTGATATTTATTTTTTCTATAGAATATTTTGACTTATACAATATTGTGTTTTAAAAAGCGAATTGTTAATTGAAAACATTTTTTAAAAATAATATTCAGACTTATAATAGTGAAAACTATACTATGAATATGTGAATTTAAAAAGAAATGTTATGGATTTGTTGGAGTATTAACACAATCATTTTTGTTTTTAAAAAATTGAAAAATTGATTTTCATTACAATAATCTAAAATTTTATTTTTATTGTGAAGTACCCTTACCCTAAATATTGCATTATTTTATTTTGAAATAACTTTTAAAAAGGTTTTTCCAACTCCATATTGTAAAACTAGGTTGTACAATTATTTTATAATAATTGTTTATTGATATTGAAAAAAAATTTAACTAAACTTTTAAAAAATAAATAAAATATTTAAATTAGTTTCATTATAAATTTTGCACTAATAATTTTGGAATTCAATTAAAAAACAAATAAAACTACTGTGAAATCCTTTTGTTCTAGCAATGAATGAATTATGAAAAATCTCACAGGTAAATTTAAAAATTTTATAGTAACTAAAAATTGGTACACGTACGATATAACATAAGTACAATACTTTATCACTTTTCCAACAAAATTATTAAAAAAATTTATTTATGACTTTCAATCTATTCGCACATTTTTATAATGGTCCAGCCGTGCCAACAGAACGTGCCTCTGTTTGCATACCTTTAACCGCTTTCAAGATAAAATCCAAAATTTTAAATGCAATTCGATCTTGTTGAAAACTTATTCTCTAAAAGAAAATTTTTACCTATACTTCCACATTTAAAAGCTGACGATCCTTGATACTCGTAATCATAGGAAATGTTACTTTTTAACAATTTGTATTTATTTAAACCGCAAACGTATATTTACGAATGCCGCTAACACAGAACAGGAATAGTACAAAATAACTGCTGCTGTTCGACATAATATTCTTACAATAACAGAAAATAATGGTTGCCTTAGATCAGTTTTTTTTTAAAGAATTGCATTCAAAGGGAAATGTACTATTTTACAAAACATCAATTGGATTTAAAATTTGTTTTTAAAATTGATTTTATAAAAACTTCTTTTCTTCATAATCTACGTTAATTTATTTTTTAGTATTTAATTTTAACGCTAATAGCTAAGAGGCACACTTCATACACGTGTATGAGCAGTACTTTACAAAGGTTAATCATAAGTAAAATTATTATTATTGAACATTTAAACGTTTTTTATTCAAATTTTAATTTAAAATGAAAAATAAGAATTTATGTACATATCTATGTATGTATATACTTTCTGGTTAAAGAGTTTCTTTTCCAAAATGTTTCCAAGTCACATAAAAAACAAATATTTTTAAATGTCTGCTATTTTTTTTCTATTTTATTTTATATGTACTCGTATTATAAAACTTGTAAATATTCAGAATTGATCAAAATGAAATTTCGAAGAAAAAATTTTTAACAAACAAAAAAATGGATTGTAAAAGAGCAATAATGCAAAAAAATATAAAAAAAAAAATTAAAATTAAAAATCAAA